AAAAAAAAAAAAAAAAAAAAAAAAAAAAAAAAAAAAAAAAACCAACAACAACGAACTTCCCCCCTTTTTTTTTTCGGAGACCCCGCGCGGTCTCAAATTTTTGTTAATATTTTTTTGTGGTTTATGACACGACATCCCACTCGGGTCTAAAACACCCCTCCCCAAGTTTTTTTTTCTTTTTCTCGACCCCTTATTTTTGGGGTGCGCCGCACCCCATGCGCGCGCGTCGTGCACTGTGTGCAGTGCAGCGCGTGTAAGCGGTGCAGCGCATGTCGATGCACTGCAAGTATGATTTGTATCTTTTTTATTTTTATATTTCATTTTCTATACTACACTTTTTAAAAGTTTTTAATGCATTTCTAAGTTCTAATTCCCCACGTGCTTTTTTTTGCAACAGAAAGGTGTGTGCACAATGTGACAGCATCCTTTGTGTTTTCATCTTTGAAAGACACACCTCCCAAGACCGATTCTTTCTGCACACGGATGTCATACCCTCTTCTGCTGCTTCTTCTTCTTCATCTTCTTCTTCTTCTCTTTTTTTTTTAATTTAAATTTGAACCTTTTCTTGATGGATGTGTGTCACATCCTTGCACAGGGTCCATTTGCTAATTACCCTTCTCTGTATCGTTCCAATTTTAATGGATGTCCCAAAGGACTCGTATCCTTTTACGAGAATGCGCTGTGCAGCTCAATACTGTTGCTCTGTGTCGATGTAGTGTGTTGTCTTCTATCCGTGAAGTCTTGTCCTGCATGCTGGCCAGCAGCAAAAGCACATTACCAGCGGGAACGTTTTGATTCTCTGCCATCAGGAATTAATGGTAGTAAAAAAAAAACAAACTGAATTCGTAGTTATGGGTCTCTCCACTATACTCTCGACTCGTGAATTTTCAAAAAGGAAAAAAAGACCGGACTGACTCTTGTTGTGGTTATGGCTCTCGCTCCACTACTCTGGACTCGTGAATTTTCGTGAGTCCGGCCTGGCTCCACTTGCTCACGAAAAGCAATCTTGAAATTTGAGTCGTGAGCTGTCAGCATTCTCTCTCGATTTCAACTCTCGAGGGCTCGAGAGTCCCCAGACTGCAAACCCTCGAATTTCGACGGTCCTCCGCCATGCCTCGGAAACTGTCGCTCAAAATTTCGGGAGTTCGCCTTGAGTCTGGGTATAGACAAAACAGGCGTTCAGCTGTCGGAGTAGTGATGTCCTGCAGTGCTGTAGAGGTTATAGAGTGTCGTGTCAGAGAGTAAGGGGGGTGAGGCTGAAAAGTTCAAAAGTGCCGGGGGTCTGACAGCTCTCGAACTACTCTTGATTTTTTTTCGTGAGTCGGGAGTAATGGAGCAAGACCGTTTTTTTGTGGTGGTAGAAGATTCACAGCCAAATGTTTATTTGATGTCATTATTCCGTCTTTGACTCCTCACTACTTTTCCTTGGCTCTCTCCTTTGGATTAAACCACTACCAACCATGATAGCCAACACGTGCATGGAGATATGTGAAGGCTGCAGGTAGGTTCAGTGTACCGGGTGCAGGGGGGGTTGTCTCCACGGAACTGCAAAATTTTGGGTGCCCCAACTTTGCCGGTTTTTCAATGTCGATTTTTTTTTTTAATTACTAATTCTGGAAAACAAATCATGGACATTTTGCATTTGCCGTTAGCGTATGTATTATGTATGGACAAATTTTTATTTTATTTTTCATTTTTTCGTTTTCCTTTTTTTCAATGGACAATTCATCCGAGGTTCTTGTGAATGTAGCATTGTGTTTGTTTTCAGACATTATATCGCATTCCATGAACTTCCATCTAAGATTTTGATTTCTTTGAATTCTTTTTTTTTTTTTTCTCTTTAAGAAAAAGTTCAGGCCTTTTTCTATTGTCCAATAACAACGAGTGAAATTCATTGAACAAATGTATATTCATATACAACGCCCAGAAACTGTGAATGTTGTTCGGAAGTTTCCATCTCACTGTCCCC